ACTGCATGGAGTGTTGTTACCTTCCCACTGAAATGGTACCTATTGATCTACTCACATTTGCATGTTTTTGAACTGCTAGGTTGGCAGAGGCTGGACCGTGCCATTGTCCCTGGCCTCTTTGCAGCTGTTTTGTTTGTAGTGGTTCGGCCTATTTGCTACAAAGTCTGCATACTTTCAACTTGGGGTTGAAAGCTCCATAATCTCCACCATTTCAAAGATTAAAAACTGGACGATGTATTAATTATTTACAGTATTTATTTACAGTATTTGTATACCGCTTTTCTCACCCCAAGGGGGACTCAAAGAGGTTTACACATAAGTAATGGCAAAAATTCAATGCCAGTAAAAACAAACAATTACAATTATACACTACAATTAGACATAAATCAAATTAAAAATACATCCATGAACAATAAAACAGTCTAAAGTAAGATCAGAATGCAACCCAGCACACAAGAGTGACAAAAAGACACTAAGCCGAAGAACCAGTGTTGTCCATAGACACCTCCAAGGTCATGTGGCCAGCATAACTGCATGGAGCGCCGTTACCTTCCCACTGAAGCGGTACCTATTGATCTACTCACATTTGCATGTTTTCGAACTGCTAGGTTGGCAGAAGCTGGGGCAATGTTAGGAAAAGGTTTTCCCCTGACATTGTCCAGTCGTGTCCGACTCCGGGGGTTGGTGCTCATCTCCATTTCTAAGCCGAATAGCCAGCATTGTCTGTAGACAACTGCAAGGTCATGTGGCTGGCATGACTGCATGGAGCGCCGTTACCTTCCCATTGATCTACTCACATTTGTATGTTTTCAAACTGCTAGGTTGGCAAAAGCTGGGGCTAACAGCGGGAGATCTACCCGCTCCCCAGATTCAAACTGCTGACCTTTTGGTCAGCAAGTTCAGCAGTTCAACCCACTGCGCCACCTGAGGCAACGCTGATGGAATCAATCCTGGAGCTGAGTGTGATGTCTGTAGACAGTCCATGTTTTGCATGCCTATAACGGGGTTGGGAGGACAATCTATATAAATAAAAATGTAAACATAACTCCAAAACCACTGGACAAATTGACACCAAATTTGGACACAATACAAGTGACCATCACTCATAAAAACACTGAAAAACACAGCAGAAGGGACTTAAAAAACCAAAAAAAACATTACAACACATGCGCAAAACCACATATATATACGCAAACACATATATACACACAAATATATACATACACATATACAGTGTTCCCTCACTTATCGCTGGGGTTAGGTTCCAGGACATCCCGCAATATGTGAAAATCCGCAATGTAGGGATGCTCTATTTATTTTAATATTTATACATTATTAGCCGTCCCCTGCCACACATTGCTGTGGCCCACATGGGGGTTCTTTGTGGGAGGTTTGGCCCAATTCTATCATTGGTGGGGTTCAAAATGCTCTGTGATTGTAGGTGAACTATAAATCCCAGCAACTACAACTCCCAAATGTCAAGATTCTATTTTCCCCAAACTCCACCAGTGTTCACATTTGGGCATATTGAGTATTCGTGTAGAGTTTGGTCCAGCTCCATCATTGTTTGAGTCCACAGTGATCTCTGAATGTAGGTGAACTACAATTCCAAAACCAAAGGACACTGCCTACCAAACCCTTCCAGTATTTTCCAGTGGTCATGGGAGTTCTATGTGCCAAGTCTGGTTCAATTCTATCTTTGGTGGCGTTCAGAATGATCTTTGATTGTAGATGAACTATAAATCCCAGCAACTACAACTCCCAAATGACAAAATCAACTTCTTTGAGTGAAGGACATACATTGGGCTGTTAGGTGTCTTGTTTCCAAATTTGGTGTCAATTCGTCCAGTGGTTTTTGAATTCTGTTAATACCACAAACGAACATTACATTTTTATTCATATAGATTTTAGTAGTTATACGCTATTTTAAGTCTTTATAAACTTAAAATAATGTGAAGGAAAGGAAGGAAAGGCCCTTCAAGGCTGGAAAGAGGACTGAGGAAGGAAAGCACCTTGGATATATTCTTAAAACTTAAACGATTATTCCCCAGGCGTTGAAGCCCGAAATGCAAAAAGCGAGATAGCAGATAGTGTTAGAATTAAGCTAGGAAAAATACGCCATCAAAATGGAGGCGATCCGCCATCTCGCGGATACTGGGGCCCCAAAGGAGGGTTTCAGTATCCGCGGTTTGGGGAAGTGCAGATTTGGCTTCCCCGGGACGCCAAGAAGGCATTCCAGGCAGGCCTGCAGTCTCCCGCGGCCTGGTAAAGGTTATTTTCATGCATTTAGATAGTTTCAGGCAAGAAGAGACACGAAGTATCAAGCTAGAGAGTTAAAAGTTGCAATTTCGTTCATCTTTATTTGGGGATTTGTTACAAAGTTGGGGCTTGGTAAGGAAGTGAAAGAGCCTACGGCTGTGCAGAATCCCTGGTTGAGCTTGCTGTTGGGGCACATTTCATCAGTTTAGCCCAGTGGTTCTCAACCTGGGGGTCGGGACCCCTGAGGGGGTCACGAGGGGGTTTCAGAGGGGTCACCAAAGCCATCCAAAAATGTATTTTCTGTTGGTTATAGGGGTTCCATGTGAGAAGTTTGGCCCAGTTCTATCATTGGTAGGGATCAGAATGATCTTTTATTGTAGGTGAACTATAAATCCCAGCAACTAAAACTCTCAAATGCCAAGGTCTATTTTCCCCAAACTCCACCAGTGTTCATTCACATTGGGCATGTTGAGTATTCATGGCAAGTTTGGTCCAGGTCCATCATTGTTTGAATCCACAGTGCTCTCTGGCTGTAGGTGAACTACAACTCCAAAACTCAAGGTCAATGCCCACCAAACCTTTCCAGTATTTTCTGTTGGTCATGGGAGTTCTGTGTGGCAAGATTGGTTCAATTCCATCATTGGTGGAGTTCAGAATGCTCTTTGATTGTAGGTGAACTATAAATCTCAGCAACTACAACTCCAAATGACAACATCAATCCCCCAACCCCACCAGTATTCAAAATTTGGGCGTATTGGGTATAATATTGTATTTTTCTTTCTTTTTTTTTTTGCCCTTTGGCATTCATGAAAGGCTCCTTTCTTGTTCCCAGCAAGCATTATACTATAATCTAATAGCCTCTAGTACGACCAAAATCATGTAGTTCCGCTGAAGTAGCAATTTAAGGTACGCTCAACGCCGTGCTATCCACAAATGCACCCAACGCGATTCCGTCATCTCTTCCCTCCCTCCTTTTTCTCTGGCACTCCAAAATACCTATTAGGACCGCATCTTGGCCCATGAGCCCACGAGGACCTTGAGATCGTCTGGGGAGGCCCTTCTCTCGATCCCGCCTGCTTCACAGGCACGTCTGGCGGGGACGAGAGAAAGGGCCTTCTCGGTGGTGGCCCCCCAGCTGTGGAACGACCTCCCTGCTGACATCAGACAGGCGCCCTCCCTTCTGTCCTTCCGTAAGAGCCTGAAGACCTGGCTATTTGAGAAGGCATTCAACTGAGCGCTACGGCAACTGGTAATTGACAACTGGAACGGAATACGGATTACGATATTGGTTATGATTCTATGATGTGACGGAGCGGATTATTTAGTGTAACTAGATTATAGTGTATTATTGTCTTATTGTTGTATTGATTCCCTGTTTTGCCCTTTTTGTAAACTGTTTTTATATGTTGTGCACCGCCGCGAGTCGCCCTAGGGCTGAGAGCGGCGGTCAATAAATGCAGTAAATAAATAAATAAATAAATAAATAAATAATAGCAACAAAAATAATATTATTATTGGGGGTCACCACAACATGAGGAAGCGTACTAAGGGGTCGTGGCATTAGGAAGGTTGAGAACCACTGGTCTAACCCATGGCCATGTTCTAGAGCAGTGGTTCTCAACCTTCCTAATGCCGTGACCCCTTAATACAGTTCCTCATGTTGTGGTGACCCCCAACCATAACCCTAACATTATGAATCACCATGTAAATAATGATCTGCAGGATGTATTTTCATTCACTGGAGCAAATTTGGCACAAATACCCGGTATGCCCAAATCTGAATACTGGTGGGGTTGGCGGGGGGATTGATTTTGCCATTTGGGAGTTGTAGTTGCTGGGATTTATAGTTAACCTGTAAACAAAGAGCATTCTGAACCCCACCAACAATGGAATTGAACCAAAGTTGGCACACAGAACTCCCATGACCAACAGAAAATACTGGAAGGGTTTGGTGGGCATTGACCTTGAGTTTGGGAGTTGTAGTTCACCTACATCCAGAGAACACTGTGGACTCAAACAATGATGGATCTGGACCAAGCTTGGCACAAATACTCAATATGCCCAAATGTGAACAATGGTGGAGTTTGGGGAAAATAGACTTTGACTTTTGGGAGTTGTAGATACTGGGATTTAAAGTTCACCTACAATCAAGGAGCATTCTGAACCTCACCAATGATAGCATTGGGCCAAACTTCCCACACAGAACCCCCATGACCAACAGAAAATACTGTGTTTTCTGATGGTCTTTGGTGACCCCTCTGTCACCCCTTCACGACCCCCTCAGGGGTCCCGACCCCCAGGTTGAGAACCACTGATCTAGGAACTGTGGAACTCCCTGCTGCTGGTCAGACCTGCTTGAAGGCGGGGCCTGGGATGCCCTCGATGACACTGGCATATTATCCAGTTCAGAGCAGAGAATCTGGATTTTATATGGCTTTGGTTGTCTGTACCACAAGATGGGATTTTGGAACCTGTGGCTTGTTACCCGCCGAGATCAACCCGAATCAATAAAGGCAGAGGAGCCCTCTCTGTTTTCTCCCCTGGCAACCCCAAGGCACGTTTAAGCAGGTGCGACTCCAAGGAGGGATCTCCAAGGTGGGAGCCAAGCAGCATTTTGGGAGACAGGGAGGGGGCGGCCTATATGTCCACCATATACATATATAGGCAGGGAGCGGAGGGGTGGAGTGTGCCCGGAGCAGTGCCAAATGCCTTGGGATAAGGCGGCCCTCCGTCCCCAGCGCCCTCCCCCTCCGGCTCTTTTATGGCTTTTCGCCTTGGCTTTGGGAGCTCAGCACCCCTCCGAGTAGTTGTCACCACCCTTGACAACCTGGTGGGGCCCCCATCCGCTGCCACCTCCTCCTGCTCCTCCTCCCCACTGTGTCAGCAAAGAGTCCAGGCGCCTCCAGTTCGGGCTCCCTCACCCTGCCAGCTGTCACCTTAAAGGGAGGCAGGAGCCAAGGAGGAGAAGAAAGCAAGAAGAAGGAGAAGAGGGCAAGTGGAGGGCGACAGGTCTCTCTCTCTGCCTCCAGGGCCACCCTTTCGGGGAGAAGAGGACCGCCACTGGACTCTTGGGGCACCCCTTCCTCTCCTTGCCTTCTTCTTGCCTTCCCCACCCTTGGCAGCTTTCGATCAAGAGGGCAGAAGAAGCCCAAACCCAACCAGGTCAGGATGAGGTGCTTCGACCTGGTGTGGGCAGCACTGCTGCTGGCCGTGGCCTGTGGCCCTGTTACTCGGGGCGAGGAGGGGCTGGATTTCCCCGAATATGACGGGGTGGACCGGGTCGTCGACATCAACGCCAAGAACTACAAGGCCATTCTGAAGAAGTATGACATCCTGGCCCTGCTCTACCACGATCCGGTGGGGGATGACAGGGCCTCCCAGAAGCAGTTTGAGCTGGAGGAGCTGATTCTGGAGGTAAACACCAGGCGTGGGTAAAAGGGTGTCGGTGGGCATGTGGGCACTCCATTGGCACTCATATGCAATGCTACTCTCATCATCTCCCTGACTCAAGGGAAAGATGGTAGCCTGGAAGGTCACCTATCATAGAATCATAGAATCCTAGAGTTGGAAGAGACATTGTGGGCTATGTAGTCCATCCCCATTCTCCCAAGAAGCAGGAAAATCGGATTGGCCTCTTCCAACTCTGTGAATTCTATGATCCTATGAAAAACCTGGTTTTGATTGATTGATTGATATCCTGCTTTATCTCTCCATACGGAGACTTAAAATGGCTCACTATCAAAAACATTAAAACTTAAAATATACTATCAAAAACATTAAGACTTAAAATATACTATCAAAAACATTAAAACTTAAAACATACGATGAAAAACATTAAAACTTAAAATATACAAATATACAATAACAAAACAGTATTTAGGTTCTTGTAGGTTTTTTTGGGCTATAGGGCCATGTTCCAGAGGCATTTCTCCTGACGTTTCGCCTGCATCTATGGCAAGCATCCTCTGAGGATGCTTGCCATAGATGCAGGCGAAACGTCAGGAGAAATGCCTCTGGAACATGGCCCTATAGCCCAAAAAAACCTACAAGAACCTAGTGATTCCAGCCATGAAAGCCTTCGACAATACATAAAACAGTATTTCATTATATGTTACTAGCCGTCCCCTGCCACGCGTTGCTGTGGCCCACTCTGGTGGTCTTGGGGGTTCTATGTGGGAGGTTTGGCCCTATTCTATCATTGGTGGGATTCGGAATGCTCTGTGATTGTAGGTGAACTATATATCGCAGCAACTACAACTCCTGAAAGTGAAGATTCTATTTTCCCCAAATTCCGCCAGTGTTCACATTTGGACATATTGAGTATTAGTGTAGAGTTTGGTCCAGATCCATCATTGTTTGAGTCCACGGTGATCTCTGGATGTAGGTGAACTACAACTCCAAAACCAAAGGACACTGCCCACCAAACCCTTCCAGCATTTTTTGTTGGTCATGGGAGAACTGTGTGCCAAGTTTGGTTCCATTCCATCGTTGGCAGGGTTCAGAATGCTCTTTGATTGTAGGTGAACTATAAATCCCACCAACTACAACTCCCAAAGGACAAAATCAATTTTTTTGAGTGAAGGACATACATTGGGTCGTTAGGTGTCTTGTGTCCAAATTTGGTATCAATTGGTCCAGTGGTTTTTGAGTTCTGTGAATACCACAAAACGAACATTACATGTTTATTTATATAGATTATAGAGTCATAGAGTTGGAAAAGACCTCATGGGCCATCCAGTCCAACCCCATTCAGCAGGGAAATCACATCCAAAGCACCCCCAACAGATGGCAATCCAGACTCTGCTTAAAAGCCTCTAAAGAAGGAGTCTCCACCACACTCCGGGGCAGAGAGTTCCACTGCTGAACAGCTCTCACAGTCAGGAAGTTCTTCCTGATGCTCAGATGGAATCTCCTTTCTTGTATCCTTATGCTAGCTAGACACTAATGGTGAAGAAGCAGATAGAGGTCACTAGGGCTGCCAAGTGACCACTGTTGGTCATGACAGGACCAATGGAGGGAGGTTGCTTCATCCTAGGTAAAGGTTGTCCCCTGACATTAAGTCCAGTCATGTCCGACTCTGGGGGTTGGTGCTCATCATTTCTAAGCCAAAGAGCCGGCGTTGTCCATAGACACCTTCAAGGTCATGTGGCCACTGGCATGACTGCATGGAGCGGTGGATAGATAGATAGATAGATAGATAGATAGATAGATAGATAGATAGATAGATAGATAGATAGATAGATAGATAGATCGCCAGAGTGGTACCTATCCATCTACTACCTTCCCATCTACTTATGTTTGCATGTTTTCAAACTGCTAGGTTGGCAGAAGCTGGGGTTGACAGCGGAAGCTCACGCCGCTCCCCGGATTCGAACCTGAGACCTTTTGCTCAACAAGCTCAGCAGTTCAGCGGTTTAACCCACTGCGCCACCACTCATCCTAGGAAGCACAAAATGATATTTGGAGAGCATCCAAGTCACCATCCATCACAATTGCAATGAAGGGTGACTCATTGTGAGTTTTCAGGGCTTAATGGCCGTGTTCCAGAAGCATTCTCTCCTGACATTTTGCCTACATCTATGGCAGGGATCCTCTGAGGTTGTGAGGATGCCTGCCATAGATGCAGGCAAAACGTCAAGAGAAAATGCTTCTGGTACATAGCCATACAGCTCGGAAAACTCACAACAACCAAGTGATTCCGAGCCATGAAAGCTTTCGACAATACAATGAAGGGTGACATTCAATCTCCAGGGATGAAGGGACACTGAAGTGATTGGATGTCTCCCCTCTGGATAGCAATTCCGATCCCTTGGCATGAAATGTTTCTTCAGACTGCCAATGTATTGCAGACACTGCAAATCACAGACTCCAAGGATTCTCTTGTTTGCTGTGCACGGACATTCCCCAGGTCCCTTTTCTTGAGATGCCTATACTTCTAAATGCTTGTCTGAAATTTGAGACATTGCCATAAATCAAGATATCAAGAAATGCAGAGAAATGTCATGAGCAAGGAGAATTATTGAGTCCCTTTGGGGAGAGAGGATGGGTTATAAATAAATTTATTATTATTATTATTATTATTATTATTATTATTATTATTATTATTGTTTGAAACACAACAAGATGAGTCCACAGCAGACAAGATCACTCTGCTGGCTGTTGTATTGGATCACACGCCGGACACTTCCCAAGGGTCTAGGACTGTGTGATGCATCGGCGAATAATGCATGCAGATCCCATTATTATTATTATTATTATTATTATTACTATTTTGTCGAAGGCTTGATGTGAGTTTTTTGTGCTGTATGGCCATGATCCAGAAGCATTCCAGAAGAATGACCATGTTCCAGAGGCAGGGAAGAATGCTTCTGCAACATGGTCACACAGCCCAGAAAACTCACAGCAACTTATTATTATTATTATTATTATTATTATTATTATTATTCCCCATTGTGTCCACTAGGAGCCCCCGGTGGCACAGTGGGCTAAACCCTTGTGCCAGCAGAACTGAAGACTGACAGGTCGGAGGTTCGAATTCGGGGAGAGCGCGGATGAGCTCCCTCTGTCAGCTCCAGCTCCCCATGCGGGGACATGAGAGAAGCATTCCACAAGGATGGTAAAACATCAAAACACCCCCCTGGGCAATGTCCTAGCAGACAGCCTATTCTCTCACACCAAAAGTGACTTGCAGTTTCTCAAGTCGCTCCAGACATGAAATTTTTTTATGTCCACTCCTGTAGCTATGCCTATAAGGTCCAATTTTCTCTGGCCTCCCATAGTTAGCATCGCAAAGAAGGAAGAGCCCCCAGTAGTGCAGTGGGTTAAACCCTTGTGCCGGCAGAACTGAAGACCGACAGGTCGCATATTCGAATCCGGGGAGAGCACGGATGAGCTCCCTCTGTCAGCTCCAGCTCCCCATGCGGGATCATGAGAGAAGCCTTCCACAAGGATGGTAAAACATCAAAATATCCAGGTGTCTTAAACTTAAACTGGGCAACGTCTTTACAGATGGCCAATTCTCTCACACCAGAAGCGACTTGCAGTTTCTCAAGTGTACCGAGGGGGACCCTACCTCTTATAGGGAGGGGAAGAAGTTTAAGACGCATACATAAAGGTCTGTGGATATCAAGGCAACTTAGCGAATAGGTAGTTAAGATTGGTGTCCACGGAAAAGGGGGAACCATACATGAAAAGACACCGCGGATACAGGGAACCCTTTTGGGTTTCGGTATCCACGGAGGTTAGTGTCGACATGGATTATGGAATTTAGAGTTCTGGAACCAAAAGTAAGGCTGCATTTCCCCTTGCACCTACTAAAGTGATGAGGATGGGTTGCCCAGTGCTTGGAGGCATAAGAAAGGCATGATATCAAACAGCTCACCAACTTCCCAAATAGGAGCTGCCCAGCAATGCAGAGTTGGCAGTTTCCACGTCTCTAAACAGCAAAGTCCAAATATGTCTCTCTGACTCCCAGATACAGAACCCGGGTCTGTATAACATTTGAGAAGACCCCCAGTTCCAATCAGAGAATAATAGAGGGACCCCCAAAGGGCATCTAGTCCAATCCTCTACAATGGAAGACACCCATCCGTCCACCAGTTCCTTCAGCCAGTCCTCAGTGGGCGTAGTTGTTTCCAATTTTTTCATAGAATCCTAGAGTTGGAAGAGACCTCATGGGCCATCTAGTCCAACTCCATTCTGCCAAGAAGCAGGAAAATCACATTCAAAGCACCCCGACAGATGGTCATCCAGCCTCTGTTTAAAAGATTCCAAAGAAGGAGACTCCACCACACTCCGGGGCAGAGAGTTCCACTGCTCAACAGCTCTCACAGTCAGGAAGTTCTTCCTCATGTTCAGATGGAATCTCTTTTCTTGTAGTTTGAAGCCATTGTTCCGTGTCCTAGTCTTCAGGGCAGCAGAAAACAAGCTTGCTCCTTCCTCCCTGTGTCTTCCACTCACATATTTATACATGGCTATCATGTCTCCTCTCAGCCTTCTCTTCTGAAGGCTAAACATATCCAGCTTTTTAAGCTGCTCCTCCTAGGGCTTGTTCTCCAGACCCTTGATCAATTTAGTCGCCCTTCTCTGGACACATTCCAGCTTGTCAACATCTCCCTTCAATTGTGTTGCCCAGAATTGAACACAGTATACCAGTTATGGTCTAAGAAAGGCAGAATAGAGCGATAGCATGACTTCCCCGAATTATTATTATTATTATTATTATTATTATTATTATTATACTCTTATTGATGCAGGACAAAACCCCATTGGCTTTTTTTTGCCGCCGCATGACATTGTTGGCTCATGTTTAACTTGTTGTCCACAAGGACTCCCAGATCCGTGTCCTCCATTCTGTATATTTGCATTTCATTTGCAATTCAGATTTTTGGTCATCTTTACCCAAATGCCTTCCT